TGCACACGCTATTATACTTTGCAAACGCTATTTCACTTTGCATACGCTATTTTACTTTGCCAACGCTATTATACTTTGCACACGCTATTATACTTTGCACACGCTATTTCACTTTGCACACGCTATTTCACTTTGCACACATAATTTCACTTTGCACACGCTATTATACTTTGCACACGCTATTTCACTTTGCACAGGCTATTTCACTTTTCACACGCTATTTCACTTTGCACACTCTATTATACTTTGCACACGCTATTTCACTTTGCACACGCTATTTCACTTTGGACACGCTATTATACTTTACACACGCTATTTTACTTTACACACGCTACTTTACTTTGCACACGCTATTTCAGTGTTTTTTATGTTCCAGCTGCTGTTGATGCTGAGGGGAGTGAACTTCTGCTTAGGACTTTTTATGACTCTGTGGAGGATGTGAGGGACAGGAGGCCCCTGGACTCTGTGGAGGAGGTGAGGGACAGGAGGCCCCTGGACTCTGTGGAGGAGGTGAGGGACAGGAGGCCCCTGGACTCTGTGGAGGAGGTGAGGGACAGGAGGCCTCTGGACTCTGTGGAGGAGGTGAGGGGCAGGAGGCCCGTGACTCTGTGGAGGAGGTGAGGGACAGGAGGCCCCTGGACTCTGTGCAGGAGGTGAGGGACAGGAGGCCTCTGGACTCTGTGGAGGAGGTGAGGGGCAGGAGGCCCGTGACTCTGTGGAGGAGGTGAGGGACAGGAGGCCCCTGGACTCTGTGCAGGAGGTGTCACTGCATTAGGACTGAAACCTGTCCCAGTAACACAAAAGCAACAGTAAGAACAACGTTGTGTAACAGTTTTCCACTGTAATCCTGACACAGTCCTTTGATGGGAACAGAATGTGTTCAGTTTTGTGTAAAAACATTCATTTTAAAAGTTGTCTCCGATGTTTGTCCAACACAAAGAGCTGAACACATCAGAGCAACACCTGCTCATTAGAAACATGTTCCCTTTGTGTGAAAGTCCCTGTAAGTCACTAATCACATGTTCCCTTTGTGTGAAAGTCCCTGTGAGTCACTAATCACTGCTTTGGGCCGAGTGAGGGCGGTCTCGCTTTGTCTCAGAGCTACAGATGTGACCGAGGACAAAACACGAGAGAAAAGTGGAGACAGAAGCAGAAACTGAACCATGGATTAGTTTTCATCATTTTAAACATTACATTGTCTCTTTTCTCACGCATTAAAGTCAAATAAATAAACGTACAGTATGATAAAGGAAACGATAATCTAAAACATCAGTCATTGTCAGATTATGAAACTCACTTTTATTCTTGACAAAAGTTAAACATGAAGTTAGAGTTAGTGAAGTCTGGTTAAGGCTTTGGGAAAGAGTCCAGCAGAAGTCATTTAGAGCAGACGTGACTCTCTCTCCACACTTCTGTAGAAAATGGTGGAATGGAGGAAAGTAGTGATGGGCAGACGGATCCCCGTAGCACACGGAGGGTCTCCTGCCAGTCTGTTTGCAGTATGTGCCTCTGCCCTGGTTCAGACTGGTCTAACTCTGGTGTCTCCGGGACAAGGGGGCGACAGTGGCTCAGTTGGTAAAGCACTGGTGTTTGGACCTGAGGGTTGTGGGTTCGATCCCATTACGGTCCATGTCACCTGCCCCCACTGATGTCATTGTGTCCTTGGGCAAGACACTTAACCCCACTTTGCCTGAAGCCCCTGCTGAAAGACCAGGGCCATGTCTTGGATGACAGAGCAGCCTCCTGTGGACCCACCCCCTGCAGAGGATCAGAGGGACTGGTCTGGTGCAGCTCTGACTGTGACCCCCGACTCAGAAATGGATAAAAAGGAGAAGAAGAAGAAGACACAGATGTTTACAGGACAGATGTAATCTTTGCACCTTCTGAGTCTTTGTTCCAGATGTGTTTTCATTCACACCTTTCACTGTAACAGAGAGAACCCTCCTGCTGCAGAACAACGCTGAGAATCTGTGTTTTATGGAAACCTTAAATTTGAAACATTGTTTACGTCTAAAAATAGAGAAGGGAAACACAGGGACTTCACTTTATGCACAAATCACAGATTTTCGCTTTCAGTCGCTTCTTGTTTGGCTCCAGCTTTAGAAAAAAACAAGTATTTGAAGAGAAATTGAGAAAGCATCGAGACACAAACACAGTGGATACAAAGCGAAGCAAAGCGGGCGGCACGGTGGCAGAGTGGATAGCACTCTCGCCTCTCAGCAAGAACGTCCTGGGTTCGAATCCCGGTCGGACCAGGGCTTTTCTGAGTGGAGTTTGCATGTTCTCCCCGTGTCTGCGTAGGTTTCCTCCGGGTACTCCGGTTTCCCTTACCACTAAAAATATGTCCAATAGGCATGTCTGGCATGCGCCTCCTATACTCAATCAATCAATCAAATTTTATTTATAAAGCGCTTTTCATACAAAAAGTGTAACACAAAGTGCTTTACAGTTTAGTTAAAAACAATCCAACATGCCCAGCCCTAAACCCTCCTCCCCACAGACCCCCCAAAACCACATTTATAATTATATATACAATACACACACCCACACACACACACACACACACACACACACACACACATATACACAAGTATAAAGTCATATCAGGTAAAATAGGTAAAACTATAAAAAGAAATGGGGCTGGGAGCAGATGTAACCGGCTGAAGAAGCGTCATCCAAGGAGCCATCTGCACCAGGAGCAGAGAGCCGGCTGCAGCCACAGGCAACGACACAGGACCCAGAGGAGAGAGGGGCCCCAGACCCCACCAGGCCCAGGACTCAGACCCCATAGGACCCAGACGAGAGAGGAGGCCCCAGACCCCCACCGGATCCAAGAGCCAGTCCCCCGAAGCCACAGCAGACCCCAGCTCTCAGTGCAGAGGGCTCCTCCAGAGGGAACACTGGGGACACTAAAACAATACAATAATACAATAGAAAGTAGAACAATAAATCTCAATCTAATAATCTAATATTGAAAATAACAATAGTAAATGGGTAGATACAATAAATAATTAAAAATAGTAAATAATAAAAATAAATAAAAATATAATCCGTCTAAAAACATAAATAGATGTACTAAAAAGCAATAATAGATAATAAATACTAATCAAAAGCTGCTCTAAAAAGGTGCGTCTTGAGCCTACTCTTAAAAATATGAACGTTCTCTGCGGCCCTGAGCTCCTCCTCAGACTGTTCCCCCGCTCTGGCGCTACTGGCGACCCCCGCTCCCATCTCTGTGTGGAGTGAGAGATAAATGCCCATAATAAACAATTGTAAACCGCTTTGAGACTCAGATCTGCAGTGAAAAGGCGGTATATAAATAAAGATTACTACTACTTACACTGACTGTAAATAATAACAGTCACATTATAATATCACATTTTTACTCCAACACAGGGTTTCTTCAGGTAGAGCCGCACAAGCTCCGGAGCGTCGCTGTTGTTTACCATCACAGAGGAAAAGAATCAAGGAACTAATGAAATAAAATTAGACTTTTATAAAATGAAAGACTAAAAGGAGCGGATACAGAAAAGACAATGTTTTCATTAACCTTCGCCGTCCTGAAGGTTAATGTGCACTTCCTTCTCCCTGAAGAGACATTTGTCCTCTGCATTTAACCCCATTCTCTCAAAGTCAGAGCAGTGGTGGCTCCGGTGCTCATCTCCCTCTGCACTGCACCTGCTGGAGGATGGTGCTGTGGTGAAACCGGAGCCCCTGGAGGAAACCCACATACAGAGAAACATTCAGACTCCACACACAGAAAGCCCTCACGCTGCACCACATTCTGTAAAGTATGAGTCAATATTCTAACCCTAACACAAACACGAAGAGCCAGATTCATGTGTCCATTACTTGCATCTGCAGTCTTTTCTTTTGTGTGTCTTTTGTGTACTTCTCTGTGTTTCTTTATGACATAATGACGCCACATCGACATAATTTGATACAAACTGATTCTTTTCCTCTCTCCCTGCTCTCCTCAGACTCACCTTGCTGCAGCTGAAAATCCATGTTCAGTGTAACCTCCACGCCAGCATACTGAAGCAGGCTGTGTGTGTGTGTGTGCGTGTGTGTGTGTGCTTATGTATGTGTGTGTATAAGTGTGTGCATGTGTGTGCGTGTGTGTGTGCGTGTGTGTGTGTGCTTATGTGTGTGTGTGTGTGCGTGTGCTTCTGTATGTGTGTGTGTGTGTGTGCGTGTGTGTGTGTGTGTGCTTATGTATGTGTGTGTGTGTGTGTGTGTATAAGTGTGTGCATGTGTGTGTGTGTATAAGTGTGTGCATGTGTGTGTGTGTATAAGTGTGTGCAGGTGTGTGTGTGTGTGTGTGTGTGCATGTGCTTATGTATGTGTGTGTGTGTGTGTGTGCGTGTCCTTATGTATGTGTGTGTAAATGTGTGTGGTTGCCTCTATGTGCTTGTGTGTATCTGGGTGCTTGTGTATAAGTGTGTGCATGTGTGTGTGTGTATAAGTGTGTGCATGTGTGTGTGTGTAAAAGTGTGTGCATGTGTGTGTAAAAGTGTGTGCATGTGTGTGTAAGTGTGTGCTTGTGTATGTGTGTGCATGTGTGTGTGTGTATCTGGGTGCTTGTGTGTGTGTGCTTATGTATGTGTGTGCATGTGTGTGCATGTGTGTGTGTGTATCTGGGTGCTTGTGTGTGTGTGCTTATGTATGTGTGTGCATGTGTGTGTGTGTATCTGGGTGCTTGTGTGTGTGTGCTTATGTATGTGTGTGCATGTGTGTGTGTGTGTATCTGGGTGCTTGTGTGTGTGTGCTTATGTGTGTGTGTGCATGTGTGTGTGTGCATGTGTGTGTGTGTGTATCTGGGTGCTTGTGTGTGTGTGCTTATGTGTGTGTGTGCCTGTGTGTGTGTATGTGTGAAGGGCCGTGTGACATTTCCAACAGTTTTTTTGTAATTCCTGTGTGTTTGTTGTGCAAACGTGTGTAGTCAGGAGTCCGTGTTAGGTAAGAGCAGACTGTAAACGGTAAGACTGGCTTTTGTCGTCATGAGGGATAAGCTCTCGTACGCCCCGGCTCAGCCCTCTCTGTGCCACGGACACGATTTAAACCAGTGCTTCTCAAAGAGTGGGGCCCGCCCCCCTGAGGGGGCCCAAGGTGGCCCAGGGCTATATGCTTGTTTTTCTGTACTTGAATAAAGTGTAATTGCACCTCCACTACAGTAGTTGGCAGTGGCGCTCTCGTTGTCTGCGTTACAGTCTGTGGAGGAGCCATCCTTCTCTAAAAGTGGGGGTGCCCCCCCCTCAATATTTGGGGGGAGCGTGCGTGACCGCGGGAAACCTTTTTTTTTTTTGCTGTACGTCCATGAACGGGTTCCACATGCTCTGGAGCCGCAGCGTTCTCCACGAGGCACTGGTTCTGTGAAGCAGCTTTGATAACAGCGGCGCGGCCAAAGCGAGGTCATGTGACCAGCGCGGCCAAAGCGAGGTCATGTGACCAGCGTGGCCTAAGCGAGGTCATGTGACCAGTGTGGCCAAAGCGAGGTCATGTGACCAGCGCGGCCAAAGCGAGGTCATGTGACCAGTGTGGCCAAAGCGAGGTCATGTGACCAGTGTGGCCAAAGCGAGGTCATGTGACCAGCGTGGCCAAAGCGAGGTCATGTGACCAGCGCGGCCAAAGCGAGGTCATGTGACCAGCGTGGCCAAAGCGAGGTCATGTGACCAGCGTGGACAGGACAAGTGCTGAACCATGTGAGCCTCTGTGCCCCGTGTCTGCTCCTGTCGCCCTGAAACTAAAACTCACTACATTAAAGCTGGGGTACCTACATTTCCCTGGCTTTCATAATGCATGTTGGAGCCCAAAAGTAAAATGAATGTCTTGTTGTTTACTATGTTTTTTGCATAATTAAGAACTAACCCTGTTTGTCAATATTCAACTTTTTGTTTTGGACTTCTAAACTCTGTTTTATGGCGCTAATGCCGCTGTGGAGAGACTGTAAGCGTCTTTTTGGACTCATCATTCCTCATTGTAAAGCTCAGAACAGCCTGATCCTGTCAAAGCTGTCGTAGTATCTGTGTCGTTGGCCCCTGGACAAGTCAACTGCAGGTGGCCCTCCTACTAAAAAGTTTGGACACCAAGAAAGCGGCTAACGGCCAGGGTTCAAACCAAGACACATGCCGGCTAACGACCAGGGTCAGGCCGGGCCATAGAAGGTCAACACTAAGATCCTTTATTCATCCCACAGAGAGGAAATGTCAGTGTTGCATTCCCAGTCACAGACCTGTAGGAATGAGGAGCACGCAGCAATTACACAATGTCATAAAGTGATTCAATAATAGTCTGTGCAACACCTGACCCGGATGTGTTTTTTATTTGGCTTTTTATTCAATATTTGTATTGCTCTGGGACCAGCAGGTGATACGGAAACTGTTTGGAGAAAAATCATGACGGTAGCAAGATATTGTCTGCATTGAAAGGTACTCAATCTATAATTCAGTCCTGGATCCTCCGAGAAATCTACTGCTGTGATTTAGTTCTACCCAAAAACAAGCCGTACAAACGATTTAGTGGCTTTTACTCCGGCCCCGTCCATATTTAGCCCCGACTCTGTCATGCTGTTCCCCGCCTGCCCTTCCACATGGGATAAATAGTTGTTGTGAGTGGCAGGTCACGGCAGCAGCAGTTGTGGGGAGGACTCCACCAGCTCCGAGTCCATCAAAGTGTCACCAGTGAGGAGTGGGAGACACTGCTGGTGACAGGTGCTTCCCGCGGCCCCTCGAGCTGCTCTGTTTACGCCAGTGCTTCCCTGTGTCTAAATGTAACATGCATGTATTTTCTCCAGAACTTTCTATAATAGTAATAATAATAGTATTGCATCGGTTTTATACAGTGCTTTTATTGGACTCTCAAAGACGCTTCACATGTCGCTGTTCTTTCACTCCGGTGGTGATAAACTATTAATGTAGCCACAGCTGCCCTGGGGCGAGGCAACCAGTCCGTGCCATCGGCCCCTCCCCCCACCACCACCAACCAATCACACACACACCAGACTCATTCTAATGCGGGTGAAGAGTCTTGCCTAAGGACTCAACGACAGTCCAGCAATATGCAGCCGCCCCACTGTGGCCCCTGGTCTCCCATCACAGCACGAGCCAGGCACTGCCCTACTTAGCTTCAGAGTTCTGACAGGATTCACATGCAGGTTGTAATTATAGAAGTTGCCATTAAGCTCTTTCAGAAATCTTATAATATAATATTTACTACAAAGTGACATTCGGACACTGCGAGTGAGAAATGATAAAAGTGAGCTCCCACAATACTTCCACATTGATAATAATAATCCATGGGGGGTCAGAGGTCAACACAGTGGGCTCTGGGTTACCTCCTCAGATCAATGACATTTGCGTTATGGACGAAATACCCATGTGCTCTATATTTTTTGGTGTTTTATTGTCTGATCTCTGTCGGTTTGGTAAAGTCCTCTGAGGTAATTGAAAAACCACATCAAGATGCAGTCCACTGACAAACAGCCTGGGGGAGAACCTTTTCAAATTCTAATTAGCTTCAGAAGGCTATAAACCTGAATTAACTTTAATTACAAACAGTGGGTGCCAAAAGTGCCGATGCAACTTGAAATTTTGCACAGCCATAAATAACAAATATAAATAATTGTTGTTCTTTTCTTGGAAGTCCATAACAAAGTAACACACAACTGTGAAGTGAACGCAAAACGATACACAAGACAGCTTTGAGTTTAGATTAAAAAAACTGTAAAGTGGGATTTGCAAATCTACCAACACACGGCTGTCAGTCCAAACTAACAGCACAGATGTAGACAAGAGGCCAGTGGACAATGTGGGGGAGTTGCAGACATCCTCGGCTCACCTGGAGGGAGCTGTACATTTTACTGATCACAAACTACACTCAGTTATATCAGGTTTTCTATCGCTCATAAGTCTTGATACCCCGTGTCAAATCTGGTGGTGGCAGCATGATGCGGTCGGGCTGCTTTTCTTCAGCCGGGACTGGAGTTGGGCAGGTGGTGGAAGAAATTACAGCACAATCTTGGAATATTGAACTCAGCAAACAACATAAAACTCACATGAAATCATTAAACAAAAGACTTCTTATGAAATACAAAACCAAAAACAAATGTGTTAAAGCGGCCAAAGTCCTGAACCAGTTTTAAATATATTTACATAAAAAACAAAACAACATGATAAAATATGCAAAGATTCCAGTTTTAATGGTATTTTTTCAAGCCATACTTTCAAATGCGACCCTCTGTGACATGTTATCTGGTCATACAGCCAACTTCAGCTCTACCAATATATGTATGTTATATCTTATATCTCATTTTTGATTGTGGGAAAAATTTTTGTTGCTTTCGTAGCTAATGTCAACCTTTTTAAAGTTCAAAACAGTTTTTCAATCCAGGTTGTCGATAAACTAAAGTGGCCCTATTACAAACTTTGGACACCCCTGAAAAAGAATGTAAAGATATTTAAAACTAAGGACACAACGACAGTCCGACACTATGTGGCACCTGGTGTTCCCAGAGGTCTCCCATCACAGTATTCACCAGGCCCTGCCCTACTTAGCTTCAGAGGTCTACCAGGATTTCACATGTAGGTGTGGCCACATGTTACTGATAAAAAGTGTAAAGATATTTCAAAAACAACTTTGTTATTGTATCTGCGGCGAAGAAGATGGCAGCCAGTCCCTCCCACACACTTAAAGTTACGTACCCGAGCTTTAATCGAACAATACATTGATATTCACATGTTGCAATCGCAGAATGACAGCAACACGTTTGTAAATGGAGACTTATGAATGCGTATCTTTAAAACATGCAGCAGATATTGGCTCCATTCTCTGTTGTGCAACTGAGACGTTTCCCTTTTACAGAGGTCCACTTCTGAAGAAAGTAGTCCGCAGCACATGAAAGGCAAAGCACTACCGTAAATAGACCAGGGGCGCGTGACAGGCTCCGCCGCGGACCAATCACAGACCGGAGATGACGTGACGGAGATGGGTTCGACCAATGGGATCGCCTCGTTGGGTGTTGACCTCTGCGAGCCGCATCACCACCTCCGCTGTGCCCGTGGCGGAGGGCTGCTATAAGTAGTCCGCGGTGGAGTTTTAAAGGGCAGAGTTGTAAGCTCCCAGGCCACGGAGGGAGTCCCGAAGCTGATCATACGGATTGTTTTTGGGCTTTTATCTGCGTTTCCCTCCCCCCTCAAGACAACTGCATCCGCCTGGAGAATTATAACATATTCACATTTTCCAAGGCTGTGATCGAACCCGAGTCGGATTATCTTCCCCCAAACTAGGCCTTTTCCATGTAAGTATAATTCCCCCTTCGTGACAAGCCCTTGGATCGTCATTTTTACTGTAATAATACGTGGTGATGTTTTTGATAAAGTCTGTGACATTTGTCTTTGGTGACTACGCTTTAATTACAATGTAGCGTCTTCGATCGCTGCCTACGTCAGTCGGCGTTTTTTTTTTCTTTTTTTTTCTTCCTCCTTCTCTACAAGGGATATGCATTGTACTGCATCAATATACAACTCACAAACTCTGCTTTTTGCGCTTAATCCAAAGAGAGACATCGTCCAGACATGAACAAAATGACATCTGTGTATTTGTATATTTATAAAGAGGCTGCGGGCGTCGATGGTCGTGTAGTTTCATGGTAATAAAAGGTTAAATGTATGTGTATTTTGTGCTGTCAGGGCTGGGATCAGGACGTTCTGCTTCTGTGGCTTATCCCCTTCGGTCGTGGTTGGACTTTGAATGATGATTATGTAATAGCAAGTCGGTCGCTCTCTGGTTTTTTCCTCCCTGCTCCCTTTATTTACACAGCCTTATACAAAACAAATTGTCCTACGGCAACAAAAAGCTGCTTTCAATGTTGTGCGAGTGTATTTTGTCCATTTCAGACCATTTTTCGTCTACAATGGATGAATAGGGATGAGTTTATGAGCGACATTTTAGTGCGTTTTTGTATTGCGTCTCAGGGATTTGGATGACATGTCCAAATCCAATTCTTAAAGGGGAAGAGGGCGATTTGTTTACGTACGTCTAAAAATACTGTGAACGGACGCCTTCACGCGAATGGGACTTGGGGCAAACGCATAACGCATAATTCAAGGGATCATATCGTTAAGGTCACGGTGTTCCTCTGTCATATCAGTCCTGTCCGTGCGTCTTCCTATGACGCACATCGTTACGTTGTAAGAGCCCTGAAGCCTCGCACTCTACCTGGAAAAAAACAAAAAAACACTGAAAATAAACGTCAGGTCATTTGTGCCTCATTCTGATTGGTCGACAACACGAAGCCTATAGGATTACATGACAAAGAGGTGGGATTGTTCTCAGAAGAATAGTTTTTCACGCCGTTTGCAGAAGAATGTGTTATTCTTGATCTTTGGATATTTTAGGTATTTATTCCATTTGCTGTTCCACAAAACCTCTTCGTACATTGTGAACTGGCAGCGGGGGCTGGAGGAAAACTCTGGAATACCTCTGTCACAATTTGACTTTTGTTGGGCTTTTGTCCGGGCTTGTCCTGTGCCCAAACTAAAGCCTGGTGACTATTGACAGCTGCCCTCCGCCCTCCGCAGAGGTCACCCCCGGGTGCCCTGTCACTGGAGCCGCTGGGAGCACTCTGCTGACGCGTCTGAGTCAGTGCAGCGTTATTTATAGCAGCGAAGAGTGTGCAACCGAGATGGAACCACTGCAGCAGCTCCACAATCTCCCCCAGATGAGCTGTCATTAAAGGGCCCTATCATTTCACTCACTTCACTTTCCGTTTGCGAAGCTCACGCGGTCATTTAGCATTTGCTGTTGTTGCCAAATGCTAAGTGGACTCTCGCACCTGTCATTTGGTAGAATTAGACTTAAAGCTTTTTCTACCTGTAGCCCAGTGCACTAAGCTGCAGAGTGGATCGGCTTAGCTTTCCCTTCAGGAGCGGCGAGCTGCTTTTTCTCCTCCGTTATCTGGCCATAGATTGCCGTGTCGAGGGCTACAGTTGGAGAAATACAAACCTGCGATAAATTAGTAGTGTTAAAATACAAACTCAAGGTTCGCTGGTTAAAGTCGTCAAAAACAAAACCGTTTCTAGCGCGACACTTTGCGTCGTAAATGAGGAATGCTGTCAATGTTTACAACCACTTTTCACAACAGCTCACTCTGTCGCCTCGGTGTAGCAACAAGAGCTAGCACGTTAGCGCAGCACGTTTATAGTATATTGGCACGGCGCCCACATTTTTTATATTTACCAAAACATACTTTGGAGCGTGACTGCGAGACTATTTTTAGCAATTGGTTTAATGTTTGTTGGTGTGATTTTCTTTGTTACTAAACTGTTATTTTACAAAATCTCTCATAGCGCTTAAGCAAGTAAAAATACAAATGCTAATGTCGATTTTATTTCTATTTTTCAGGATTCAAGAACTGAACCCGCTGAAGGAAGGATTATTCCCCTGGACCACCGGCACTTCCTCTGAGACCTGTCATCACACTGATCACGGCGACTTCGGAGGTTTTCCCCTCGGCCCAAACGCGCACCTGTGCCACGTCGCCGCAGAAGCTATGCAGCTGGAAATCCAAGTCGCTCTCAATTTTATAATCTCCTATTTATACAACAAACTGCCTCGGCGAAGGGTCAACATATTTGGCGAGGAGCTGGAGAGGCAGCTGAAGAGGAAGTACGAGGGCCACTGGTACCCGGACAAGCCATACAAGGGCTCAGGCTACCGCTGCATCCACGTGGGCGAGAAGGTGGACCCGGTGGTGGAGCAGGCCGCCAAGGAGAGCGGCCTGGACATCGACGACGTCCGGAACAACCTGCCTCAGGACCTCAGCGTCTGGATCGACCCCTTCGAGGTGTCGTACCAGATCGGCGAGAAGGGGCCGGTCAAGGTACTGTACGTGGACGATAACAACAACGAGAACGGCTCGGAGCTCGACCGAGAGATCAAGAACAGCTTCAACCCCGAGGCGCAGGTTTTCATGCCCATCAGCGACCCGGTGGGCGCTTCCTCCGAGTCCAGCTCCCCGTCGCCCCCTTTTGGCCAGTCCGCCGCCGTCAGCCCGTCCTTCATGCCCCGCTCCGCTCAGCCCCTCACCTTCACCACCGCATCGTTCGCCGCCACCAAGTTCGGCTCGACCAAAATGAAGAGCAGCGGGCGCAGTAATAACAGCAGCGGCGGCAGCGGGGGGAGCGGCGGTGGCGGCGGCGGGAGCGGCGGAAAAGCGGCGCGCTCCTCCCCCACCCACAACCTGGGCCTGAATGTGAACACGCTCCTCAAGCAGAAAGCCATATCCGCCTCCATGCACTCGCTGTACGGCCCGAGCCAGCAGCCCAAGCCATCCGCGCTCTCCGCACTCTCCCCCAACGCCAAGGAGTTCGTGTTCGCGCCCAGCCTGAACGGCCCGCTCAGCCCGGGCGCCGCGTTCGCCGCAGAGGGCTCGCTGGGCCTGGGACACCTGCCCTACAGCAACGCCTTCGACATGTTCGCGGCCTACGGGAGCCTCAACGACAAGTCCCTCGTGGACGGCCTCAACTTCAGCCTGAACAACATGCAGTATTCCAACCAGCAATTCCAGCCGGTGATGGCGAACTAAACTCACCCCATTATTTATGAACGAATGAATGACGCGGGCGAAAAGTGAAGGAAAAACAGGTGCGCACACACAGTTTAGAAACCCGGACTTTTGAAGGACATTCTCGGCAGTCAAAGAGCATGTGCCCAAGGGAGATCTTTGTCTACAGCGCCCCCTTGAGTTTATTCGGACTCAGAGCTTGTATAAACACATCCAAGCTTGGTTACTCGACATGCATCGTTGTTTTTCTTTTCCTTTTTGCCAACTAAGCACAACGTTTTTTAATACATTTGAAAATAGTCTATAAAAGAGAAAAAAACATACAAGCTTCAAGTTTTGCCTCTCGCAGTATTTCAGAGGGGGTAATGCAAGGCAGATTTTTATGAATTGGCACTACTAAGTGGGTTACTTGGTCTTTTTCTAATTGTATAATTTAATTTAGTACAGAGTTTGTATGATATCAGAGTATATATTGTTTCTATGACATGGTGTTGCATTTATATCTTTTTACTACTCCAGTGATCTGTGATGGCTGCAGCAGCTTCTCTTCATTTCTCTTTTTTTAAGAAGATAATCGTGAAATAAATCCATCTTTAAAAAGACATGAACTATTCAAAAGATTGTGTAGAGTATTCCTTTGTGGTGGAGCTCAAAGTGTAAGAATATTTGCTTTTTCTGAAAGATGAATTGTATTTTCTGTTAAGAGTTTAAACAGATTTTTGCTATACTATGGACAAAATGTAATCGTATGAATATTAATTTTGTACCAACATTGTGCAATACTTGATAAAAATACGGTATAACAAAGTATTTTGAGTCAGTGTCTTACACGTCAAGAGGGACTGAAATAGTTTATATTGTTAAGTTTGTATTAAATGCTTAAAAATTATATGCTTGTCTTTATTTTTTTTAATTTCATATTTGCACCCTGGTCTTTTTAATAAAATAAACTTCAGATAAAAAAATAAAACCTGGCTACGTCTTCATTGCACATTTACCAAGAATCTGGATGTTTTAGTAACGTTTATTTATATAACACATTTTACAGACCCAAAGGTACAGACCCAAAGCACTTTCCAATGTTCAGAGTCAGATATTGTTCAGATCCTTCCACACACGGTGACGACAGAAGCGAGTCCAGAACACACTGGACCATCAAAGCCTCTGACCCAACACCATCCATTCACTCTCTCATTTACATTCAGACCTATTGTGCATGTTTTTACTGGTAGGGGAAACCGGAGCACACAGAGGAAACCTACGCAGACACAGGGAGAACATGCAAACTCCACTCAGAAAGGCCCTGTTCCGACCGGGATTCAAACCCAGGACCTCCTTGCTGAGAAGCGAGAGAGCTAACCACCCAGCCACCGTTTTCCCAACTCCTCTCATTCTGTCGTAGATTCTTTAAATAAAACTAAAAATGTAAAGAATCCAGACCTGCTGAAGGACCGTCGCAGAAACATGTTTTTCAGCCGTTTCTTTACATTTTCTGTCTCCACAAAAGAACTTTCTGAGCTTTAATCTTTTTTATTAGTTTGTTTTGCACAAAGGTTGAGAAACTTTTTATTCAAGAGACGGAAAAGTCTCATGCTTTAAAATGTTTTTCTGTGGAAGTGTGGAATCATTTAAGATCAACTCGTCCGAGAAATATTAGTCTCAATGTTTTGTTCTAATATTTTCAAACTGAAGAAATCCGTTGTTTAAAATGTTCTTATTATGAATGTGTCACAAACAGAGTCTGGATCCAGGTTCCTCCAGTCAAGTATACGTTTGTCCTTCTATTCGTTAACCTTATCTTTAACAACTTCAAAGATAATGAGAGGAATTAGCACCGTCCCAGTCAAATAATTAAATAAAACTACACTTATTCTGATACTTTGAATTTCAGTATTAGCTGTTTTTGCTGCAGGTCTTATAGATTTTATTTTAATCCCAATCTTTTCACTGTAGAGTAACTGAACATGATCTCAAATAAACACATCATAATAATAACAGACAGAATCGACAATGCGACAGTGGCTCAGTTGGTAGAGCATTGGTCTTTGAAGGTTGTGGGTTCGAGCCCCCCACGAGACCTCCTCCACCGACTCCCACTGATGTCGTTGTGTCCTTGGGCAAGACACTTAACCCACTTGGCCTGTAAGGAGTGCGGAAGTGATGTGTATGTATGTGTGTTTGTATATGTGTATGTGTATGCGTGTGTGTTTGTGTGTATGTGTGTGTGAGTGTGTATGTGTATATGTGTATGTGTATGCGTGTGTGTCTGTGTGTATATGTGTATGTGTGTATGTACGTGTGTATGTGTGTGTGTGTGTATATGTATGTATATGTGTATGTATGTGTATATGTATGTATGTATGTGTGTGTGTGTGTATATGTGTATATTTGTGTATGTGTATGTGTATGTGTATGGTTGCTTTTTTATTTTTATTTTTTTATTATTACTATTTGTTTTGTGTTTTTTTTTTAGTTTTTTTTTTTTTTTTTTAATTATTTTCTTTTGTCTTATTTTCATCTGTTTTGCTGTATCTGTCCTTGTGAAATCTTGAGGACCCCCTCGAAAACGAGATGATTCATCTCAAGGGGCTTATCCTCTAAATAAATAAATAAATAAATAAATAAATGTGTATATGTGTATATTTGTGTCTGTGTGTATGTGTGTGTGTGTGTGAGTGTGTATGTATGTGTGTGTCTGTGTATGCATCGAACTGAAATTTCCCCATTGTGGGACGAATAATGTACCTTCTTCTTCTCAAACATGTTACTGTAGATGTACAAAGATCGTTGCGAGCTTATATATTGTATACTTATACGTATATCCAGGACTCCCTTGAAAAATAGGTTCTTAATCTCAATGGGACTTTTCTGGTTAGATAAAGGTTTAATAAAATAAATCAGACAACACCGTATTCATAATAATGCATCGGTTTTATACAGAGCTTTTCTGGACTCCTAAAGTCTCTTCACATCATCAGAATCAGAATCAGAATCAGAATCATTTTTATTGCCAACGTAAGTAACGGGAGGTCACAGACTTGGAAATTGCTTTGGCTCAGTGCAACAGTCAAAAAGAGATAATAAAAATAAGAATAAAAAACACTTCTAAAGAATAAATTTAAATTTAAAATAGAGTTACAGTTACTATTTACAATATACAAGTGCACATGGTGCACACAATGTAAGGTGACAGCAGTACAGTGAAGTAAAGTGACGTATGATGGGCAGTAAAGTGACTTTATAAAGGGCGGGGGGACAGGTTAAGAAGTGTTCAAGAGTCCAACAGCAGAGGGGAAGAAACTGTTCTTGTGGCGGGAGGTTCTAGTCCTGATGGACCGCAGCCTCCTGCCTGAGGGGAGTGGTTGGAATAGTCCATGTGCAGGGTGAGAGGGGTCGGCTGTGATACGACCAGCCCGGCCTCGAGCTCGGGCGACGTACAGGTCCTGCAGCGATGGAAGGCTGCGGCCAATCACTTCCTCTGCAGAGCGCACAATGCGCTTTAGTCTCTGTTTGTCCCTGACTGTGGCTCCAGCGAACCACACGGTGATGGAGGAGGTGAGGATGGACTCGATGATGGCCGTGTAGAACTGCACCAACATCTGTGCAGGCAGCTTGGCTTTCCTGAGCTGCCGCAGGAAGTACATCCTCTGCTGGGCCTTCTTGATGAGGGAGCTGATGGTCGGCTCCCACTTGAGGTCCTGGGTGATGGTGGTGCCCAGGAAACGGAAGGACTCCACAGAGGTGATGGGGGAGTCCATCACGGAGGGTGGGGGCGGGGGGACAGTGCTCTTCCTGAAGTCCACAATCATCTCCACTGTCTTCTGGGCGTTCAGCTCCAGGTTGTTACCACTGCACCAGGACACCAGCCGGTCCACCTCCCTCCTGTAGGCGGACTCATCGTTGTTGGAGATGAGTCCAATGAGGGTGGTATCATCCAAACACAGAGGTGATAAACTACTGATGTAGCCACAGCTGCCCTGGGGCACATTGACAGAAGCAAGGCAACCAGTCTGTGCCATAAGGCTGTAGATCCAGGACTGAGGCTGTAGACCCAGGACTGAGGCTGTAGACCCAGGACTGAGGCTGTAGATCCAGGACTGAGGCTGTAGATCCAGGACTGAGGCTGTAGACCCAGGACTGAGGTTGTAGACCCAAGACTGAGGTTGTAGATCCAGGACTGAGGCTGTAGAACCAGGCTACCCCAACTCTGCTGTGACCCGTCCTGCTCCACCCAGAGGCTACTCCACCTCTGCTGCTGTGACCTGTCCTGCTCCACCCAGAGGCTACTCCACCTCTGCTGCTGTGACCCATCCTGCTCCACCCAGAGACTACTCCACCTCTGCTGCTGTGACCCGTCCTGCTCCACCCAGAGACTACTCCACCTCTGCTATCTATCTATCTATCTCTCTCTTTCTCTCTCTCTCTGTATGTATGTATCTGTCTGTCTGTCTGTCTGTCTGTCTGTCTGTCCATCTATCTATCTGAACAAAACACAAAATGTTTCTCTTTTTTCCATAATTACGTGTTCTGAATCTAGCAGGATCGACTATAGTTCATGAGTCTGGGATGTGCGGCCTCCTTTGAAACCACTGTGCAATATTAGGACAAAGTCTTGTGTCGATGTTGAGCCGATCGTCCTGAGGTTTCTTTGGTGTTTGTCTTTTGTGATGATTTGTGTTGTGTTGTGTGGAAGCGCTTTGTGTAACTATACATAAGAATTGATTGATTGATTGACATTGAGAGAGAGAGTTGTGTGTTTGGGTCCAACAGTTGTGAGACTGAGACACATTTCTCTGATTAGACCATAAAGCTGAACCTTGAGCCTTGAGTTGGAGCGACCTGGAAGAGCACAGGGACAAAGCACAGGGACAAAGCACAACTGTCAACAGCTTCGTAAAGTCCTCCGAGATACTACTGCTGTGGTACTGGTACTGGTACTGGTCTGATTTGTTCACAACATTGGACTTTGGCAAGACTCTGGGACTGAACATTTATGAAGAGAAAGAGAAATAATTATGATCCCAGCTTTTCTCTCGCACTTCATTGGTTGAGGTTGAGGTTCAGTGGGGCCTCCAGAGCAGTCACTGTGGGGGCCTCCAGAGCTGTCTTTATGGGGCCTCCAGAGCAGTCAATATGGGGCCTCCAAAGCTGTCTTTATGGGGCCTCCAGAGCTGTCTTTATGGGGCCTCCAGAGCTGTCTTTATGGGGCCTCCAGAGCAGTCAATATGGGGCCTCCAAAGCTGTCTTTATGGGGCCTCCAGAGCTGTCTTTATGGGGCCTCCAGAGCTGTCTTGAGCCTCCAGAGCTGTCTTTATGGGGCCTCCAGAGCAGTCACTGTGGGGCCTCCAGAACCGTCACTGTCACTTTGGGGCCTCCAGAACCATCACTGTGGGGCCTCCGTCACTGTCTTTGTGGGGCCTTCTGAACCATTAATTTAAAGCCTCCAGAACCAGCACTGTGGGGCCTGCGTCACTGTCTTTTTGGGGCCTCCAGAACCGCCACTGCGGGGCCTCCAGAGCCATCACTGTGGGGCCTCCAGAACCATCACTGTGGGGCCTCCAGAGCAGTCACTGTGGGGCCTCCAGAACCATCACTGTGGGGCCTCCAGAGCCATCACTGTGGGGCCTCCAGAACCATCACTGTGGGGCCTCCAGAACCATCACTGTGGGGCCTCCAGAGCCATCACTGTGGGGCCTCCAGAACCATCACTGTGGGGCCTCCAGAGCCATCACTGTGGGGCCTCCAGAACCATCACTGTGGGGCCTCCAGAGCCATCACTGTGGGGCCTCCAGAACCATCACTGTGGGGCCTCCAGAGCAGTCACTGTGGGGCCTCCATAATCATCACTGCAGGGCCTCCAGAACCATCACTGTGGGGCCTCCAGAGCAGTCACTGTGGGGCCTCCAGAACCATCACTGTGGGGCCTCCAGAGCCATCACTGTGGGGCCTCCAGAACCATCACTGTGGGGCCTCCAGAGCCATCACTGTGGGGCCTCCAGAACCATCACTGTGGGGCCTCCAGAGCCATCACTGTGGGGCCTCCAAAACATCACTGTGGGGCCTCCAGAGCCATCACTGTGGGGCCTCCAGAACCATCACTGTGGGGCCTCCAGAGCAGTCACTGTGGGGCCTCCATAATCATCACTGCAGGGCCTCCAGAACCCTCCTGGAACCCGACCCTGGCCTCCTGTGTTATGTTTAGTCCGTTGTGGAGGCTGAGCGCATGATCCACGTGCCCCGCGGCCGTGACAGGTGGCCCCGCTCCTGACAGGTGGCCCCGCTCCTGACAGATACGTTCTGGATCTGTCATGTGGTATTTTAAGCCTCGTGTGTGTTGCCAGTACAGTTAATATTATCCCTGTTTACTGCGCCGGGCTTGTAACTGCGCATTGGGCCCCACGGACGTCACGAGAGCTTCACCTCCAGAGGAAAGATCAAAGTTAACAGACAAACTGAGGACCACCTACATTTTTATAATTTTTATGGAAATATCCGGCGATAACAGTGACTTACACGTGTAACACATGAACATGAGTAGATGTATTATTACTGTAGTGTCATTTACAACGTCATTATTTATTATGTCAGTTATTTATTATGTCAGTTATTTATTTATCCCCGACCCAGAAATGAATTAATAAAGGGTAGAAAATGACATGATATTATTCATTATCTCTAACACTGCACAAACAGATAAATATGAGCTAATAATGGCTTGAATTGAGTGTGTTTTATCTTAACCCGAGCACATTGTGACTGTGTTAAAAAAAAGATTCTCCGACTTTAAGAACTAAATTTTTTGTATCTTTTTAAAATGAGATCGTTTTGCGTTGTCCCGTTCATGAATCTTGTTTTAAGGCTCAGTCGGAATGTGCTCAAACTAAGTGTATTTGTTACGACTAAGTTTGCATTTTCAAGAGTTGTTGTTATTATAATGCAGTGTAACGACTGAGGCCAAGCTTCTGAACAAACCTGAATCATAAAACACACAAAAATACGTTTTTATGTGAAAATGAATCGCGTAACTTCAGACTGGGAGAAAAAAAGAGACTTCACACTGCCACACTGGCTCCTCCCACTTTGCACTGACTCCTCCCCCTCTGCACTTGCTCCTCCTCCTCTGAACTAACTCCTCCCATTTCTCACTGGCTACTCCCCCTCTGCACTGACTCCTCCCCCTCTGAACTGACTCCTCCCCCTCTGAACTGACTCCCCCCACTCTGCACGGACTCCTCCCCCTCTGCACTGGCTACTCCCCCACTGCACTGACTCCTCCCCCTCTGAAATGACTCCTCCTACTCTGCACTGACTCCTCCCCCTCTGCTCAGTAACACAGCTGCGCTCATGACTTCATGGCTGCAGTTCATCAGAGCCTCTCAGTTTCAAGCTGCTGTTCGAGCAGCAACCCTCCTCCTCCCAACACCGCCTCCCACCGTCATAACTTGTAGTCAGCACTTACCAGTGGTTTGTAAGCGTGCGCTTCAGTGTGCTGCTCTGTGATTGGCTGCAGCCTAATGAACCACACACTTGCACCTTTTCTAGCCTGACACCTGATTTCCTCTGTTGTGCTGCTCCATGATTGGCTCCAGCCTCTGTTGTGCTGCTCCATGATTGGCTCCAGCCTCTGTTGTGCTGCTCCATGATTGGCTCCAGCCTCTGTTGTGCTGCTCCATGATTGGCTTCAGCCTCTGTTGTGCTGCTCCATGATTGGCTCCAGCCTGCTGGACTGAAATTGTCCCAGTGTGCCCCTCCTTGATATTCCGCAACCCACCACCAGGGTTCCGACACATAACACACTTTTTTCAGGAAAGTAAACCTCCAGGGGTCCTTTCCATATTTTTACAGAGACTGCATAAGGACCGTTAGAAAAGCATTACCCATTGATTATTAAGCTTGGACCAGTGGGGTCCGGTGTTCGGGCCCCACCACGTAAAACCAGTCCCCATGACGTGAGTGGAATCTCAGGTTATGGACCCCACCAAGAGTTGAAAACAAGTGCACACACACACACACACACACAGGGACACACACGCACGCACGCACACACACGCACACACACACACACACACACACACACACACACACACACACACACACACACACACAATCTGCCACCTGAACCATTGCTATCTAACCACAGGGAATAATCAACTTAGAAGCATGGCTAACCACAAAGAACCAGGTCACACTCCTCCTGCAGCTTTGAACTGTTTGTTTTTACAGAATCACCATGAAGTGAATACCATGAAACATCAGGAGTAGAAATGACAGAGCATGTGTTAAAAAGTGAGAAGTTAAAGTTAAAAGTTAAAATTAAATTATAACTGCAGAAGTTTCAAACCTCCAACGAAACGGTAAAAATGATAAAAATCTCAAAACATTTGCTTCTGTCTAGCTTCACACAGAGCGCTGTTGTTTTCCTGATCTGTATCTTGACAGCAGTGGTGCAGTGGTTAGCTCTTGTCCAGGAGGGCTTTTCTGTGTGGAGTTTGCAGGTTCTCCCCGTGCCTGTGTAGGTTTCCTCCTGGTGCTCTGGTTTCTCTGTTTCTAAAAACACAGTTCAGAGGGAGTTGGTCACCACCCATCGACCGTACGTTACTCCACACCAGGAGTGTTTCTGACACAGGTCTGTAATTCTCTGTGGTGAAAAACCGACACGGGTCCAAACAACACACCAACCTTTCACTAATATTGGTTCTTTCAGACACGACAAAACAAGTTATCAGTGACATTTGTAACAAGTCCATGTTCCTGAAGCCAGATCCTGTCAGACCTGTGTAGCTAAGCAGGGCAGGGCCTGGTTAGTGCTGTGATGGTAGACCCCTGGTAGAACACCAGGTGCCACAGTGAGACCTTAGGCAAGACACTTCCCCCACATTAGAATGAGTCTGGTGTGTGTGTGACTGGTTGGTGGTGGTGGGAGGGGCCGATGGCACAGACTGGTTCCCTCGCTTCTGTCAGTGTGCCCCAGGGCAGCTGTGGCTACAGTAGTAGTTTATCACCACTGTGTTTGGAGTGAATGAATAATGACATGTGAAGTGTCTTTGAATGTCCAGAGTTGACCAGTGCATTATTATTATTATTATTGTGTATTTAAAGTATCTTGAGTGTGTTCTCAGTGTTCTCTCTTCAGGACTGATCCTGGATTTGCCATAAATACTGCTCTTACATCACAGACAGGTCAGTGTGTTGGTGCAGGCTGTGAGCAAAGGACTAATATGGTCTCATTATGCAACAGACACAGGACTGAGACTGCAGCGGGAGGTTAGGGACGGAGCAAAGAGCCTTCTGCTGTTATTATAAGCATGTCCATAATAATGATAATAATAAGCCATGTTTATAATAATAATAATAATAATAATGATAATAATAATAATAATAATAATAATAATAATAAGCCATGTTTATAATAATAATAATAATAATAATAATAATAATAAGGGCGATAGTAGCTCAGTTGGTAGAGCATTGGCCTTAAGGCCAGAAGGTTGTGGGTTCAATTCCCACCTCTGCACCTTCTCCACCGACTCCCACTGATGACTGCTGTCGTTGTGTCCTTGGGCAAGACACTTAACCCCACTTTGCCCAAAGCCCCCACTGAAAGATCAAGGCTATGCTCACACTCAGAGAGCAGCCGTCCTCCTGTGGACTCACCACCTGCAGAGGGTCAGTGAGGGGCTGGTGCTATGAGACTTGGGTGGCATCTCTGATTGCCACCCCCCTGACCCAGAAATGGATTAAAGGGTAGAAAATGGATGGATGGATGGATGGATGTTTATAATAATAATAATAAGACATGTTTATTTCGAGCTAATAATTGTACAAGAAACAACAGTAGAATATCAAAAATGTGCATAAATAACCCTGAGCTACATTTACATAACACACAAGTATAAATATCATACAAAAGAGAAACACGAAAAGGAGCGGGAGAAAAAAATCTGTTTGTGACTAATCTATAAATACATTTACAGAAGAAACATGTTCTTTGTGGCCTTTAAACTCGATAATGAGAATATTTATTTTATTTCGTCTTCTGTGAATGAACTGAGGCCTGCGGTAGAACATGTGGAACAGCTATCAAAGGTACACTCTGTGATCGGCCCTGTCCCTGTGCTACCACTAGAGGGAGGAGTAGAAATGGTGAGAAAACGGAGTGTGATGTCATAGTGATGTCACAGTGATGTCATAGTGATGTCACCACCATAAGACCTACTTCACGACTCCCACTGATGACTGCTGTTGTTGTGTCCTTGGGCAAGACACTTAACCCCACTTTGCCTGAAGCCCCCACTGAAAGATCTCAGCTCCTGTGGACTCAGCACCTGCAGGAGGATCAGTGAGGGGCTGGTGCTCTGACTGCCACCCCGACCCAGAAATGGATCAAGGGGAAGAAAATGGATGGATGGATTTATTGTGAGACAACACATATTGTAATATGCAGTATGTATGTATGTATGTAGAGCTCTGACTGCAGACGCTGCTCTGATCCGTCTGTCAACCTCCTGCTCCATCCTTCACCACTGAGAATACTCCAGGAGAGGACCAGGACCAGGAGAGAACCAGGAGAGGACCAGGAGAGGACCAGGACCAGGAGAGAACCAGGAGAGGACCAGGAGAGGACCAGGACCAGGAGAGAACCAGGAGAGGACCAGGAGAGGACCAGGAGAGGACCAGGACCAGGAGAGAACCAGGAGAGGACCAGGAGAGGACCAGGAGAGGACCACCTTCTCCGGTCGAGCCCCATGGTCTCTGATTTGGACGTTCTAAAACAATACTATGTTGTGTCCCCTTAAATCACTGTAAATGAAGCTGAGTCAGTTTCAGATCCACAGGTGTCAAACTAAAAACAGGTGGATTTGTTTTTTGTGCTCAGTTTTTCAGCTTTATTTTCACTTTAATGAAATCAAACAAACTTCTGTAGATTTCTGAGTGAAATGAATCCGTCGGTGCCTCTGGAGCAGCTGCGGAGGATCAGAGGTTTCTCTCATTTAGTTTCTCCAGAGACTGAAGACTTTAGGACTCTGTGAAAGTGAAATGATGAACGTTAAAGAAGGAAGCGGTTTGTTTCTGTCCGTTTGTGTGACCAGAGAGAAAGACAAGAGAGAGGCCAGAGAGAGAGACCAGAGAGAGAGACC